CCTCCACCCCCACCCCATTTCACGGTGCGCACATACACGAGGCCCGCCCTCGGCCTCAACCTGCACCCCTCTCCCCTTCGGGGAGGAAGCCCCTCCATCCCACCTGGAGATGGGCTCAGCAAGCTCCTGGTGTGGGCCCAGCTGCAACCCTGCTGCTCCTCCTAGCCTCTGAGGGCGGCATGGGAGCGGCACGGGACGACCTTCCTGTGCAGACACCACAGACTGGGTCTGGCTTTCAGGGCTGAAGGCTAGAGAGTTGGGATGGCCAGCACACCCAGAGGTGCGCAAACATGCCTGCGATTATAAAGCATCATAGCACGCATGCTCCCTCCCGGCTCCCTCTCCCATCACGGCAGGTGAGATGCTCAGACACCCCTAGGGGCAGCTGAGATAGGCGTGCCAGGACCAGCCCAGGAGCCCAGCTATCATTTGCTGACTTGACAACCACGCACTCGCGCGCGCGCACACACACACACACACACACACACACACACACACAGAGTCCACTCCATAGAAATAGGTCCCGTCATTCGTTTCTCCAGAGCGAGGGCCCCCAAACCCAGTATCAACCCCAGGAGCCCACTGGGAAGCCCCAAAATGCACCATTAAATCCCACCTGGACCACCAAACTGTGCACATGGGTAACCATGCCTAAGCCTCACTCAGTTTGCCTTGCCCTGAACATACAGAGCAAACATGTCACTGAAAACGCCGCCTAGTCATTCACAGCGCTCCAATAAATTAGAGTTCAAAATTCTATGCCAGTTGCAGAAAATACTGCCTTTTGAGGGCGAAATCATGAAAGCCTTACACATCTACATCCTCCTTTTTGGAGCTTCTGGAAATGTCGTGTGCGCAAATGCACTTCATGCCCAATTCAAACACAAACACAACCACGGCTCTTTTCTCTGCCTGCACAAATCCTCCTCCACACAAAGTTAGCTTTGCAAAGAGAACAGTGCATCCGTCTACCATTTCCACTGCGAGTTCGTTCTTTTTAGTGACAGGGAGGATGGTAAACATGAAAGAGAAGTTCTCAGGAGCTGAAATGGTGACTCAGCACAGCTGGGGCCTTCTGAACGTAATCAAAGGAAGAAGCTGGAAATTGAAACATCCCTTGACAGAGGAGCCTGTCATGTCAGGGGGATATGCAACAAGTCTGAGCAGATTAATTTCCTCTCGGCATAAAATATTCCTTCTGATCATAAAGGAATCTGCTCAGAATTGACTCCAGACAATCACAGAACACGTATAGGACAGGTGCTGAGGGACAAACTACAACTCTGATGGTGACGAGAAAGAGAAAGAAAAAGTGAGTGTCTCTGGATTCAACTTTGCCCTTCCCTGACGTCCTTTGAAAGCTAAATCCCCAACCCTCACCGCACCTCTGCCAGAGAACTGGTAAGTCTCTCACAATCTAGTACGAATTAAACTATGTATGACCGGAAATCATTCCATAAGACCCTTCTAGGAGAGCCCCCAATGCTGTTGAAAACCAAAAAGTTTGCTAAACTGTTTATGACCAGATGGACAGCCAGCTAGACAGAGCATCCTAAGGAGAAAAGAGGGCAGAAGGTCAAAATGAAGACCTAGGATTGAGAATTCAGCCTCGTTCTGTGGCATTTTTCTGTATGTCCTCCATAGTTTGTATCAGGAAACAGGAATTCCCAAATCATGGAAGATGCCCCAGCAGAACAGGTTCCAGAACATTTTGGAAAACAGGGTATTGTAGACCTCTTCTTGCCCTCTTGGAGAGAAGGTTGCCATGAAAGAATCTTAGTTAATATTTGGTTTTCCATTGCATATTTCTCAAGTTTATCTGGCCATGGAACACTCTGCTCATGAAATATCTGACACACTAAGTAAAATGGAGGCATTTTCA